AAAAATGATTGTGATGATAAAATTCTCACATGAAAGCATGATTTTATGGAACAAGATGTAAAATAAATTGGTGCAAGTATGATTTCAAGTTTTCACTAGATGGAAGATAGGATAATTATTTTTATGCTTTGGATGAAGATTACTTTGATGAATTAGTTATTAGTAAAGGGTCTAGAAAGTGGAATTAGCTCCAATTGATTAAAGGAAAACTTGAGAAATTTATTCAAGTATTGAGAAACTTAGTTTAAGGGTAGCATTAGATATTAAAAGTCTTTTGATTTGATAGTGGTTATCTTGTATCGTATTTCTGGTGATAAAGAAATTGGAAAAGCTTACCGACCATCCTAGTCTGTAGCTTGTATTATGTGAGTTTTCATGCTTATTTTTCTGAAATAAATATTTATTGAATTTATATTAAGTCAAAAAGTTAATTATTTCATATAGTTGGTTTGATAGCATGATTTTTAGTATAAAGTGAATTTCATATCTTTGTAAAATTAAATTCAGTTAAGCTAAAACATTTCCTTGGCATGTTACAGTTGTATTAAATATTTCATCATTTTAAAGTTATTTTAAAAATTACAAAAAAGTACTCAGGTAATTTTACCTTAATCTATACTTGTGTGAATGTGTTTTCATGGTATATGATCTCATATGATTATTTTATCCACTCTGCATTGGTGTGAATGTGTTACCACAGTGTATGATCAGTTATGGTGATTTTACCCGCTCTACACTATTTTGAATATGTTTTCATAGCGTATGACCAGATTATAGCCTTTGGGCAGCTCTACCGAGTTGAGCCACACATTGTCATCAATTGTATGTCTCATTTTGTCAGTTTATACAGTTTATATTTTGGAATAAATGCGTCTTTTGTCAAAAATATTTTCATATCATGGTCTCACTGCATATTTTGTATATGTTATGCATTTGGAGTCTTCTGGTTTGTAAGGAAAGTAAATTTTATTCCAATGCATTTTATTTTGAATAATTGGTGATTTAAAGGGCTTGTGTATCCAATTTTATATTATATGCACAGAATTGGGAAAACTGATAGTTGATCGGGTGATTTTAGTACGTATTTCAAACGAAACTATGTCAAATTCCTTTAAAAATTCATCATAGTCAAAATAGGTCAATGTTGTCTTGGTGGTGGATGCGACACTTAGCTGGTATCTACCATTAACTCACAACATGTGTCGGGTCCATTCAAGTCATTCAAAACTGGTCGTGTCAATATTAGTCTCCAAGTGGGAGATTGTTAAACTGTGAAATCTAATTATTGTCGTTCTGCAACGTCGGTATGTGGATCAACATTATTTGAAATTTTGGACGAAGATTTTATTAAGGATAATTTAGGAATATCAAATTTTTAATTTCGATTTTGTCCTATTTTATCTTATAAATAGGATCGTCATTGGGATTTTCTATTACCATTAAAAAGAGATGGAGAAGATACGGTGTGCAATGTTCTCTTGTAACTTTTTTTCATAATAATAAATTACTTTAGTGGCAAAAGAGGACGTAAATCTTGTGTATTTTTCTGTCTATTTTTCTTTCTTTGATTTAATTGTTTGCTAGGGTTTCTAATTTTTCACAAATTTTAACTTTTAAGTACAATTAAGGTGGCGAAGAGCCGACATCGAGGTGCCAAACCTTCCCATCGATGTGAGCTCTTCGGAATAATTAGCCTGTTATCCCTAGAGTAACTTTTTTTCGCTCAATCATGTATGACTCTACCTTTAATTAGAGTAGGGTAAAACTCCCAAATCGATCCGAATTGAACCAAACCAAAAGGTTCTTCTTAAGTTAAATACTCGAGCGGATATTTGAATCGAGAATCAACAAGTTCGATTAGATTCTTGATTCTAGATCAAGAATTGAGGAACCGAGTCTCCCTAATTTTTTTTTTATTATTTTAAGTAAGGCAAATTATTTTATTTTTTTAAAATAAATTTGTTAACTAGTTAATTAAGCTCAAATCCAAAAATAGGATTCTTCTCAGTTCTAATTTTTAGTCCAAGCCTAATTAATCAAATTGACCTAAGTTTTACCCAATCCATTATTCTATCGTAATACCGTTTCTACTGTTCTGAAGAAATCGAATTGCAACTCAACAGCTCCTCTCTTAATTATTATAAGTTTGCTATCATCCTCTTCTGGTGATTTTAACAATCAAATCTATGAAGAACTCAACAAAAAGAGACATAAAAGACATGTAAGATTGGATTACATTATTTTATAAGAACTAATACTGAACATGTCATTAGTTGAGTTAATGGAGCTTTATAAATATTAAAAACATTAATTATGGTACAAAACCTGGGAACTCAATGGAACCGAACTCAAACAATTTTATAATTAAAGTTGGATCTAACGATTCCATTTACTAAATAATCGAAAATTTCTGGTCCGATTCGATTCTCGTTAGAATCAAATTTAACTGGACCATGCCCACGACTACCCTAAATTCCCTTGTAAGATGATAGTTTGTTCGAGAACACAAATCTTAGTATAAATAATTATCTGAGTTTTGAAAAAGGTTGAATTACTCTGTTGTACTTTTTGGAAGAGACCAGCATTATTAATAAAAATAGTCCAAATTCTCATATGTCAAACTATTGTTTACATATTTAAACGACTTAAGAATTTAATGTTAATCAATATTAATTCTTCTAAAAATAAATGTTGTGTTTGACTTTACAAAACCAATTCAGTACTCATCTTCTGTCACATCCCACTCTTTTATAGTCAAAGTCAAAGAATTATTTAGTCAAAGTCAAATAAGAACTTAAGTTGATCAAATAATTTTATTTGGCTTAACTTGTAGTTACTAATATTTAAAGGGCCAAAAAATAAAAAAGCGAGGAAATTTTGGATTTAGATCCCTATTATTACAAATAAAGGGACTAAATATTATGCTAAATTAAAGAAAATGGACTTCCTTTGCAAAAGTGGGTTAATGGAGTACAAGTGTCATGCTTTTAAGGACCATGATGGACGGATAGGGCCACATAGGCCTTGTCCGTCCAGGGCACCTATGGGCCCGATAGGGGCACCAATTAAGCGCCCTACTTAGATAGACTCTGTCCAAGAAGATTTATCCTATTTTTAAACCCATTTTTCATTTCATTATACACATATAGAAAGCTAAAAACAGGATAAGAGAAATCGGAAAAAGGGAGAAAAAGGGAAAGAGAGAGAAGAAAAAGAAGAAGAAGTGGATTTTCAAGCTTGGATTCTCCATTTTTTTTCTCCATTGATTTAGAGAGATAAGTGTAAGTATTTTTGAATTAATTTTTTTTGAGTTTATGGAAAAATTTCTCAAATTTAAGGTTTAGCGAAAATTAATGATTATTGATATATGTTTGAGATATTAAACAACAACAATATATATGTTCAGATGGTACATTTTTAATTGATTATAGTGGTGTGAGATAATATTATAAATTTAAGTTGAGGATTGTATCATGACTATGAGATTATATATTTTAGCTTTATGAGAATATCTCACATCTTGACTATTATTATATGTTATAGTTTGGACTATTAAATGATGAAAACTCAATTTTTGATAAAGATTTAGAAACAAAAAAGTATAATTATTTTCAAATATCTTCACTCATTGAGCTATCAACTCATATATTTTCTTATGATTTTTTCTATTGGTAACAATTCGTTCTTTATAGCTTGAGAAGCTTAATGATTTCAAGGTGATAGTCACTAGACATATTGAGTGTTATTATTCATATTGATGAAGTAGAAGTAAATATTTTGGTCCTTCGCATTATATTTTATATATACATTTGATTTTGGTACATTTCTTGTAGTAACTCATAGTGAACTTTGGTAATAGATTTGACATCTAGTTAGCATGTATCATCAGCTCATGTCACGTTTTGGGTCCACTAGAGTTATTCAGGACAGATCGCGTCATCTTCTGTAAAGGTCAACCATTATTACAACCTTTCAGCATTTTTTAATTCATTTGGTGTTAATCATTTTTGGTCCAATGACCTAAGTTCAATAAATAATTATTTTTCATAAACAATAATCACGTGATAATTTTGCAGAATTTACTCAACAAAAAAATCAGTCTAATATAGAAAATATAATAAAAGTAAACATCAAAGTAGTTTGAAAATCTTGAAGATTACAATCCGACAGCCAACAAAGTGGGGGTTAACACCTTAATTAGCAAGCTTAAAACGTTTGGTGATAGGGGATTGAAGGCACTAGGTAACCATGCATTGTCTCAGTATGGACATCAATCCTTTTCAATCAACATGAACCCATTTTGTACATTTTGTTTATACTCAACCTGTTACAAAACAATTTGTGAATTGCTTTTTCATCAAATGTGTGACAAACAAAGTTTTCGTACATAAAACATGTTGAACTACCTCATTTAAAAGTTTACGAGTCAAGTTTTGAACTGATTCTTTAACAAGTGTAACTTGTGGTTAAAACTCGCTTTTTTATTAAAGGCCTGATATGTGAAATTAATTTTAGTAAATTGTGGTGGTGAGACTTAAAACCAAGATATTAATTTGATTATTTCGACGCCATGTTCCAGCTCATCGTCTAGAAGTTTAACATTGAAGTACTGAACTAACTCATCGGGTTGTAGCTTGATTTTTTTTATTAAAGATATGGTACATGAAATTTTAAAAAATGAGCGACAATGACACTTGAATTTAGAATGTCTACATCTATAACATGTTGCACACCCCGATTTTGATGGAAAAAAATGTATATTTTTATATTTACATTTTATTTCATATTTAACAGTTAAAGATAAATAAGAACTTTTAGGATTTCCTTGTCAAAACTGTTATATAGCAGTATTTAATTTTCAACAGATAATTTCACTTGCAAATCACTCAAAAAGTACAGTTGGACCAACAGCTTAAACAGATCAATTTGTCTATCTGCTAACCCCCTAATACCTAAGTAACTCCAAATATAAATACTTGTTCTTTGTTTTTGCACCCATCCAAGAAATTATTAGCCCATCAAATCAACTTCATTCTCTCTTATTTGCATACCATACAATCAAACCACAATGGCTTCTAGCTTTCTAAAACTTTTGCTCTTTGTTCTTACAACTTTGTGCCTTATTGTAGAGCTTGCACTAGCCAAACATGCAGGGATAACGAGGCGCTACAAATTTGATGTATGTGATTCATCGCATTTTAAGTGAATTCTTGGATTCACCAAGTTGCATTACTAATAGCTTTCTTGTTCATTAACGAAATATTTGTGTACATAAGTTAATCTTTTGTTGTTTAATTTTCTTTATGTGTTTACAGATCAAAATGCAAAATGTGACAAGGTTGTGCCAAACAAAGAGCATTGTTACTGTTAATGGCCAACTTCCAGGGCCTACTATCATTGCAAGGGAAGGTGATAGAGTTATAGTTAATGTGGTTAACCATGTTCAGTACAATGTCTCCATTCACTGGTATGAAACCATACTAAACTATGTACCTCACTATTTCCCAATTTGGTAGAGATCAAAATTAGATTTTTAGTAAATTTTAATAAAAGTTGATGAAATATGTAGTTGAAAAGTTGAGGGTCTCACAAAATATGTAATTAAAACTAATTGTTAACTTTATCTTAGATTAAAATATATATTTTAATTTTCACCAAACAGATGATAGTTTTGAGTAAAGTATTTGTACTAAACACGTTCCGGTGTAAACGACAGGCACGGAATCAGACAACTTAGGAGTGGATGGGCCGATGGACCAGCGTATATCACTCAATGTCCAATTCAGACAGGCCAGAGCTATGTGTACAACTTCACTGTAACTGGCCAAAGAGGGACCTTATTTTGGCATGCCCACATTTCCTGGCTTAGGGTGACAGTTCATGGAGCAATAGTAATACTTCCAAAAAGAGGAGTTCCCTATCCATTTCCTCAACCCTACAAAGAAGTCCCCATCATTTTTGGTAATATTTTGGCAGATAACATCACTCATTAATTTATAGTGAAACATTGGTTGAGAAGATATAATCCTAATTTTTTGGATTATAGGTGAATGGTGGAAGGCTGATACTGAGACGATTATTAGTCAAGCACAGCAAACTGGAGGAGCACCAAACATTTCCGATGCCTACACCATTAATGGCCTTCTGGGACCCTTGTACAATTGTTCGGCTAAAGGTAAACACTATGCTTTGAATCAAAATGTGGATGTTGAATCAATTACATGAAATTTTGGCGCGTAATTTCTGGTGACATGGTTAAATTTTAAAATTGAAATTTTTTTCTGTGATGTAGATACCCTTAAACTGAAGGTGAAGCCAGGGAAAACGTACCTCTTGAGATTGATAAATGCTGCACTGAACGACGAACTTTTCTTCAGCGTTGCTAACCACAACCTCACTGTTGTCGAAGCTGATGCAGTCTACGTTAAACCTTTTAAAACAAACACAGTTTTAATCACACCTGGACAGACAACTAATGTCCTTCTGAAGACAAAAAAGCATCATCCAAATGCGACTTTTCTTATGGCTGCTAGGCCTTATGCCACTGGCCCTGCTTCATTTGACAACTCCACCACTGCTGGAATCCTAGAATACCATAACCCTTCAAACAAAACCAGGAAAATAAAGAATTTTCCTTTATTAAGACCTTTGCTTCCTCTGTTCAATGATACAACTTTTGCTACAAAATTCGTTAATAAAATCCGCAGCTTAGCCAACTCGAAATTTCCAGCCAAAGTCCCCCAAACAGTTGATCGGCGCTTTTTCTTCACGATAGGGCTAGGACTGAGCCCTTGCACGAATCAGAACCAGACTTGCCAAGGCCCAAATAACACAATGTTAGCAGCTTCTGTCAACAATGTGTCATTTGTAATGCCTAGTACTGCTCTGCTTCAAGCCCATTTCTTCAATAAATCCAAAGGAGTCTACACCGCTGATTTTCCTACCAATCCACCATTCAAGTTCAATTACACGGGTAATCCACCAACCAACATTATCGTGACAAGTGGCACAAAATTGGCGGTGCTTCCATTTAACACGAAAGTCGAGTTGGTGATGCAGGATACAAGCATAATCGGTGCAGAGAATCACCCCCTCCACCTCCATGGCTTCAATTTCTTCGTGGTAGGTCAGGGTTTTGGCAACTACAATCCCAATACTGATCCAGCCAAGTTCAATTTGGTTGATCCAGCTGAAAGAAACACGGTTGGTGTGCCATCTGGGGGGTGGGTTGCTATTCGCTTTCTTGCAGATAATCCAGGTACAATGTACATTCATTTTTAACACAACAATATGATACTAACATATTTTTACTAAGTTACCGATTACAAATTCATAAATTTTGATAAATGAATAGGTGTATGGTTCATGCACTGTCACTTGGAAGTCCATACAAGCTGGGGACTGAAAATGGCATGGATCGTCATGGACGGAAAGCGCCAGAATCAGAAGCTGCCGCCTCCTCCATCAGATCTTCCCCAATGCTAATTGGGATTTTCGCTTTCTTGTTATTATTATCATTCTCTTTTTCGTTTTTCAATTTTTATATTCATTCTTGATTTCTTAAACATAGAGACTTTTAGCTTTAGCTTAGTACAAATGATTATGCATCCTTCCACCCTGGAAACACCCGTTGGCTGGGGATTTTGGGCTGTTTTACTAGGATGAATTGTATTGCTTTTATTACAACCTTTTTGTAATGTAACTTTTGAAGTAAGCATAATGAATTTTATACAGGAAATTAATCCTTTTATTGCCTTGTTTCGATGTGGAGTCACAATCAAAGCAAGCCTATTTTCAGATGAAGGGTATCTTTCAATCTAATGACAGGATATTATTTTATTCCTAGAGTTTTTGAACATCTGCCATGAAATTGACGTAAAAGGTTATGGGATTTGAACAAGAATACAAAATTTGCATAATAATCTCAGTTGTGTCATTTTTTTATCAAGCTTCATTGCTTATTATCCAGAGTAACGCTATTCATTCAGGGGTAGAGCAGCACCCAACGAGTTCCTACTATCACCCGTGCTAGATCCACCGAAAAATTTTATTTTTCTTTAAATTGGACAGTCGTTCATATTCTTCAGAGTCTCCTAAATCTTTACCGTATTCATCGACAAATAATGGTATCTATCGCTTTTTCATAAGTAGTATGTATTTGTTATTTTTGTTATCTTATTTAGCATAACAATTCATTGAAAAATTATATAAAATAAATTTAATAATCGAATAATGAAATAGGAACGCCAAATGTTTAAAAATCAACAAGAATGACAGCTTCTAGATAGAAAGACAACATAGTAAAGGTTAGAAAAAAGTTAAAGTCTTAGGTTAATGAAGACAACTCCAACCCCATTTGAGTAACTTAACCCTCGCACCGGTTCACCGATCAAACGGTTCACCGCGTCACTTACTAGAAAATAGAACCTCAAGAAAACCCACCCCTCTCCTCTCTCCGAGTTCCTGGACCAACACGAATTTTCTCCACAACAGCCACCGGAGACGCCGCCGTAAATTGACCTTACGCCGGTGACTCCACCACTTTTCAAGAAAAAATAGAATTCGATAATAAAATAAAAATTTTTAAATGGCTCGTGGGTTCAAATTCTCATTTCACGTCAGTCTGGTTACAGCGGCCATTATTTACATCTATCTGTCGACAGTGTTTGTGTTCATAGACCAGTGGGTTGGACTTGGGTCCTCGCCTGGTATGATGAATGCCGCCGCCTTCACATTTTTGGCAGTCATGTGCATCTACAGCTACCGTCTCGCTATCTTTACTGATCCGGGTCGGGTCCCCAGCTCATTCGTGCCCGACATCGAGGACTCTGAAAGACAGATCCACGAGATCAAGCGCAAGGTCACTTTCCTTTTTCTCACTAATTTTCAATCTTATGTACACTTACATGTGTGTGTGTAAATGTATGTTTATTGATTTGAAAAATGTCTCCTTAAATGCATTTATCTATTTAGATGTTGTGTTGTTATGATCTAATTTTCTGGTTTAGTTTGGACTGTATAAAAATTTTAAGTTCTTCTATTTATCTTGACTATACATACTTGTAACTTTTGTAATTTTAATTTTTAATCGAATTTCTTGTTCATTTAATTAAGGATTTTTCTTTCAATGCTTGTGAATTGGTTTCAAGATTCTTCCCTTTTATGAGGAATTAGTCTGTTTAACTTTTTATTTGATAATGCAGTTATTGATTGATCTGAATAACTTATCCCCAATTTAATAGCTTTGATCAATGATTATATAGTTCTTGATCTGCAATGATCAGCTAAAAAACTTGGAAAAGAATACGTTTATGGAAATTCTGCAGACCTTCATACGGCTTTCGATTTTTAATTTTTTAATGTCTGCATTAATGGTTGATTGGATTGCTATTAGATTCTGTTCATTTGTGGAAGATCACACTTAGAGGAGTAATGCTATTAATTATTACTCATTAGTAGTGATCGTCAACCATCTAGCTGGCGTTAGGCTTCCCTGAGGACAACTGGCATTGGAGTTGTGATGCATTTAATTCATTGGATAATGAATCAAGGGATTCATTACCTCCTAGGTTGGTGATATTCCACTTAGAGATGTATAAAGTATAAACAACTTCTTCTGTCAAATCTCCTATTCTTTTGGGGAAGATATAAATGGATATTGCGAATAGAACGAAATATAACGAGGGAAAAAATAACAACACTATTACGTCAAGAAGGCTTGTAGGAATGCTTTTGTTGCTATACAGTTTTTGGATTTTTTTTGTTCAGTGAAGAGCAACTATTTTAAAGCAATATATGGTAAATCGGACAGCTGCAATGGATTATATACAGCGCCCGTCTTTTAGAGTTCTAACTTATAAGTGAGATGAGCCGCCTTACTAGCTTCCAAGTTGAGGCTGAGCTGTTTAGCTTGAGCCGGCTTGGAAACTTGACAAATACTAGGTCAAGCTCAATGTAGGGCTAGCAAGTGCGCAAGATGGCTCACAAGTTTCTAATTATTCATTTCGTCATTCTACCAATATTAGGTAGTTAATTAGATCAAGTTATATTATTAATTGTTTTATTCTTATAATTCAATTTTTAGCATTTAGGTTTTTACTAAAATGAAGCAAACTACTACAGACTTCATGCTTAAGCTTGAGCTTTTATTTTTTAGTCAAGCCGAACATGATCCTAAAATCAATGTAGAACTAGTAAGTGTGCCACCTGGCTCACAAGTTTCTAAGTATTCTTTTCATCATACTGCCCCTTGTTAGATATTTAATTTTTATTGGGTTAAAAGTGTTAGCTGTTTTGTGCTTATTATTAATTTTATAGCATTTATCTTTTTTACTAAAATTGAAGCAAAATTACTATAGGCTTCGTGCCTATGCTTGAGCTTTCATTTTTATAATCAATCCAAATCCTTGAAAGTTAAAGCTCAATTGAGCTCGAGGCCTGCTCAATTCTTGGTTAGTAATGTTCTCTGGGGAAGTTTACTTTATCGGTACTTAGATTGTGGTCTTAATAGTAGCATTCTAATAGGTCTATTATTTTTTTTGGGCATGCTAAGCTGTAAAATGAATCGATCCTTTGATGTAGTAGATATGATTTTCTAGGAAGTGATTATAATTTAATCATTTCTGGACAAAAATACTGTTTATCCACACATTTCGTGGGTTCCACTTATTATTAACACATTTTGTTGAATCCACAGCTTATAATCACTTCCCCGAATATGCACTATAGTTTGACCCTTGCGCCTTGTATCTCTATTTGGGTTTTCCCCATTAACCATTCTTGGTGAATCTTTGCTAGTTTCTTTTTTTCTGGAAAGCTTAACATAGTCAAACAATTGATATCGAACGTTATATTGGCAGCCTCTGCCATTAGTAATGCTGATCTTGGTAATTGCTGAAAGTTCCTTCTTCCAATTTCTTTTGCTAATTGGTTTCAGTCAACTTTAATAGCACTAATATTATACTACGAAGTTTTCATTGAGACAGCCCAGGTTATAGGCTCGTAGCTTACTGTTTGGCCCCTGGCAAACTAACCTGATTTAAGATGAAATAAAACTGTCCTAAAAACATAAGGTATAGACCTATGTGAAAACTTACCCAATATCACCAATGACAACACTTATTTTTATAACATCTTAAATCTACTTATGCACATTCAAGACAGCCCAAAAAAGTCAAATTAATACAACAAAGACAGGAATTACACTCAGAGACTCAGAGCTTCGTGAGTTACCAGATGTCATGCTGGTGAGAAGTTTCCTCATTGATGAAAGACTATTTAAGAACGAGAGCACCTATGCAGGATGACTCGGCAAAATTAATGTCATTTATCTCCATCTAGTTGTCTTCTGCCAACTAAACCCTGTTTGTACGTGTCTTGAAAGAACAAAGATTTTATTATACTCATTTTTACTGCAATGCATATGTGGCTTAAATGGAAGAAAATCTTGTGTGATTTACGATGTTGGTTTTCTTACACTTGAAGATAAGAATGAGCTGAGGGTTTAGAAAATGAAAATGACAATTCACATGATCATGATAGGGCTGAGGGTTCAGAAAATGAAAATGACAATTCACATGATCATGATCATGATATTTTTTATCTTCAAGATGAGGATTGAGCTTCATATGGAACCTGAATCTTTTTGTGAATTATTTGTGTAGGGCGGGGACTTGAGATTCTGTCAGAAGTGTTCTCATTATAAACCTCCCCGCGCTCATCATTGCCGTGTATGTAATAGATGTGTCTTGAGAATGGTATGTCTGGTTTGAGTTACTGTTCACTTTTTTTGAATCTCCTTGATAATGTATTAAAGTTTTGCCTCTTGATGTAAGGATCACCATTGCATGTGGATGAATAATTGCGTAGGCCATGCAAACCACAAGATCTTCTTTGTTTTCATTGTTTATGCGGTTCTAGCATGTATATACTCCCTGGTATGCTTTTACCTCCCTCCATTTATATTTTCATTCCATTTCTTACTCGTCTTGTTACATTCCATCCTTCGATGTTTTAGCTTGACATCTTATCAGAAGACAGACAGTCGATCTTTTCGAGCAACCTATTTAAAACAGCCAAAGAACCTTTTTTATTTCAACTAATTGCTTATGTAATTTCAGGTTTTACTCATTGGTAGTCTCACAGTTGATACTGAGGACGATACTGAAGATTCTTTCAGAACTGTATATGTAACTTATCCTGAATTTTTTTTCTTTTTTCCCTTTTATTATTATTATTATTTTTTTTTTTGGTTGATGAAATCCTTTTCTTTCGTTTCTGTCACAAAACAATTTCATGTCCAGGTGATTTCAGGGTTACTGTTAGTCCCATTAAGCTTGGCATTGGGTTTTTTTGTTGGTTGGCATATTTATCTTATGTTAAAGAACAAGACTACAATTGAGGTTTGCATTGACCCCAGTCACTTGGTGATAGATGGTTTAATAATTTCAACTGAATTGACTTTTAATTCTTCAAACTGACAGTACCACGAAGGTGTAAGAGCTATGTGGCTTGCCGAAAAAGGAGGGCATCTCTATTCACATCCCTATGATATAGGTGCTTATGAGAATTTGATATCTGTAAGTTATCTCTTTTTCCAATTATTTTGCCTTCACTATGTTTTCCCAAGGATCCCCTGAAAAATTACTTAAGCCCTAGTGTGGCACATAATTTGGTTGACAAAGTTAAGCTGAGCGGATATGGATTTTTGCCAACATATTCTTAATTCTTCCTAGAGGTGGGTTTCAACTACAACGTGATGTAAATGGATGTAGTTTCTTGAATCATGTTGAACATCGAAATATCTACTCGGTTGTTTGACTTTGTTTTGCTTGATGCTACAGATTCTTGGTCCAAATTTTCTTTGCTGGGTTTGCCCCACATCAAGACATGTCGATTCTGGCCTTCATTTTCAGACAAAATATGATAAACTTGTTAGAACATCGGCTGAGGAGTAAATCTGTTTTCCCTGTTGTCGAACTGTACTCTAAAACTACAAAATCATGTGCAGTTAAAAAAAGATGTATTTCCTGCTCTCTCTCTTTTTTTTTTAAGTAAAATTATCCTTTACTGGTATATACTATTTCTACTCTGCTTTAGGCTATGGAGGACTGGCACAATGGATGTTTACGGCTCATAAACAACCTAGTTGAAAGGAATGAGGTTTAGGTTCAAGGTTATGATTCTGAGATAGTTTAGTTTCATCTTTCCTTTCTGTCAGCCTGTGGCACGTGAGACTTGGAGTCACAAGGTTTTTCTTGAAGAATCCGGGCCTGATGGGTTCATTAAAACTTTGGATTGTAGACTAACATACATTATCATGTACCAAACAGATTTAGGATCCTCAGACTGTGAAGTAACTTTCAGAAATTATCATAGCTGTTCTGTGGTGTTATACTTCTCTTTCCATTTCATGTATAATTCGTTATTGGCTTGTTTGCTTAGTTGGATTGTGCAATATTGGACTGCGTGAAGGAAGAAAAATATGATTTTACTACTGTTTAGTCTTTTTCGACACTGCTTACCAAACATAGACCACAAGGACGTGAGCACCTTAGCTTTAATTATTAAGTGGTATCATGGATGTTTGTTACCTCTTTTAGCTTTTGGAAAGTTCTGTGTCCTATTTCCCATTTCTGATGTAAAGATAGCAACTTGCAGGCTGTAACTTTTCTGTTGAAAGATGTTTAAATTCTATACTTCTTGTAGTGGAAGATAAGATGGCATGAGCATACACAATCCACCACTAGAGTGGAAAAGTGAAATGTCTTCTTTTCCTAATTTGAAAAATGGAATGAAAGTACAATAATCAGAGATATTGCCCTTGTTTGAGCTCCATTTTTTTCACCAAAATACATTTTTAAACAGTGATTTGACATCATTTTAACCATACATTTTTCAATAAAATAATATTATACGCAAAAAAAAAAATTCCGTATTTTCTAACCACACATTTATCATCAATACACTATTCAAAAATTCATTTTTTTTTCCCACCAAAATGGGGCTCAAACAAGGGCATTATTGATGAAATTAGAATAAAACATATTTCTATATTTTGGAACTGAGATTATGAACTTTGTCAATAATTCGCATAAGAAACAATGTGGATTGGTACGAGTGTTGTAGTTTCTTCCTAGATATTTAAAATAAAAATAAAAAATCAATCATATGAGTGGCTCGTTTGAGATTGTTGGACTTTGATTCCATATCAAGCCTTGATATTCCATATATTTTTATTGAGATTAATTAAAAATAAAAGTTAAAATTAAAATATAGCTCAAACCCAAATTTCTTGCAATCGAACTGTCTGGCGGTCCAGCCAATAAATTTTTTGGGCTGATTTTATATTGGATTCATGAAAATGATGGCATCGTACGATTCTGTTACATTTCATATCCGATTCTACCGCAATACAAATTTTTTTTATAATGTTGATCAGTTTTTCTTGTTGGAATGAATCGTGATTTTAACAACCAAGGGGCATGTAGAGAGGGACAAGCCTGGGCTATAGCTTAGACGTGTCCAAGACCAGTGGGAAAAGGATTTTGATATTTGTAACCGTCAGTATACACTCCCCTCACATCGAGGTCCCACGCACAATAAAAAAATGCGTGCCCCCCCCCCCCGGGGGGGGGGTCAATCCTTTATGATTCACTTTTCTTGATAACCAGCGCTCTTAAAACCAAAGAGCCGGACAAAAAGGGAAAAAGTTCTGCTTTGCTAGTTCTTGTGTCTAAACTTTCTTACAGTTTAAAAGAAGGCAAAAATTATTCAATAAATGTTGGGTTTTGATACCCAATAACTCCTCGGTCTATGATGTAAAATCGGTTTTTGTTATCAGTCAGCTTGGACCAAATGGCTGAACGAAATGTCAACGTCACTATTAGAATGACCCAACCCCAAATTGTATGGACCACTAAAAGTGACCTAATTTAATAGTGTCGCTCGTGGGCCGTTTCACCTCTACTTGGAGGGCTTTACATTGTTACCCATTTTGGAGCCCATTGACTTGAGTGTTGGGCCTTCGGGCCGTGACTTTAACCTATACCTAACTTACCATATTTGGACTCCTTACTTGGGCTATATACTTTCTTCTTCTCACTGCCTCCATATGAACCGTTTGTGCAATTGTAGCTTCTCCCCGTTTTTCTTCTGTCTATCCGGTTGTTCTTCACCTGTGATTACTTTGTGATCATTTCCTATGTGGAATAATACATCTTGGTGAGCTCTTTGTGGGCAAGTAAAGCAATCATGAATAGAAGAAATCGTTTTGGTCGATTGGATTTGAGTTCGATTGTGGTGTTGACATTGGTGAAACTGAACCGGGAAAATCCACCAATTGAAGGTCAATTATTCAACAATAAAAAGTGAGAAGAATGATGATACAATATTTCGTCACACGATATTACGCATCTCAATTTGAAAAGATTTCAGCCAATTTATTGTTGAGTTGTAACTTCTTCTTTTTTTGTTTATTTATATACTATGTTGTTATTACTCCAATTTCGAACTATCTTTCTCCCAATGTCGCGCAAATTTGAAGTCATTAAGGGCAGCTACACAAAGCAAGTAATTCGCTTGGATTTTTCATCTTTGGTTGATCTAATTTTACGGTGCTACGGGCTATAGCACTTTCCTTGAGCCTTGAAACTTCAATAGTTAATGTTGCACTGTAATTTTTCTGTCATATATGAATTTTATTAGTATACTAACTCTTTTTAAATTTCAGCCTACCTCGAAGTAAACTCCTGGCTCCACTCTACTCCCCCAATGTATTGAAAGATTAAAATTAGATCTTCATGTTAAGAAAAGTGTGTGTTAGACTTACTCCATCCAGAAGAGTGTTTACATCTAGACAGTTTTCTTGACAAGGTCTACTTTAATTTTTGCTACATTAGCTAGACTTAGTTCTAGAAATGTTGTATTCGAGAAGAACATTTTTATAAACATTGTATGTTTCAAATAGAAACGTCAAGCACTTATGTGCATTTTTTTCATATTTAATGGTCTTTAATTGAGTATATACTTAGCAATCAACTGCTATACTATAAGGTAATGCTTTCGGCGTGTAGTATCGGAAAATAAGTTAAAGACAGGAGTTTTAAAAATAAAATTTGTTTTATATTGTCCAGAAGAGTCTAGTATACCTTACGAAATGCATTATACAATTTTTAAGGTCGTGGTTGGTTTGTCATTTTCGGCCCATTTTTCATTTTCCGTTTTCGAAAACCCGAAAAACGCGTTTGGTCCGTCGTTTTTGAAAATGCACTTTCAAAAACGAGTTAAAATTTATAATTGAAAATGTAAAACGACTTTTTATCGTTTTCAGCGTTTTCAGTTATAAATGTCGAAAAAGCGAAAAACGGGCCATTTTCAGAGAAAACTAAAAGTCGTTTAGAAAATGAAAATGAAAAATGAAAATACAAATCAACCACTACCTAAAGTTTTGACGTAGAACTTCGGATTGTGAAAGGAAAATCGTGATTAAATATCGTTTTCATGACAAGATATTCTCAAGATTCTTTTTGCATACATGTTTTTAAGAAAAGGAAAATGTTGATTAATTCGTGACAAGATATTCTTGAGATTTATTTTGCATACGAGTTTTAAAACTTTTGTAACAATAACAGGAATCACAGGCTAGAATTGGGACTTAAAAGAGGTCCAAAGAATTTTTCTGCAATGAGTGGTGAAGACATGAAATGACAATTGCTGTCGAGTCAGATTTAGAACTAAAGATTGAAAACACATGGCTATTTTGGATTTGCTTATTTTGACGACTTAAATGCTTCTATTTTCCAAGGATTATATAAACTTACTGGGTGCTATCTGGGGTTGGATTTGGATAGGACTCCATTTTCAATTGTAAAGATGAAATTTGGGTGAAAAGAAAACGAATTTCAAAGAATTAAATTGTCTAGAAATTATTTTCTTGAAAATTGTAAATTATTGTGTTTGATTGGTATAATTTTTAACGTGAAATTCGTTGAAATAAAAGTTTTTTTTGTGTTCGTTTGGCCTTGTTTTGTATAAAAATTGTCAATTAAAGGAAAAGATTTTACTGGTATTGGGGATGAAATTTGTTTCCATTGCCAAAAAAAAACAAAGACAAAAATTCAATAAAATCATCTATCTTTTAGTGTTCGTTTGACTTTGTTTTACATAAAAATTATCAATTAAAGGGAAATATTTTTTTACAATGATTTTTAGAATTTATTTCCAAAAAAAAAAAAAAACACTACAGTAGCTGGAAATTGGAATTCTCAATTCCAATTCAAGGAAAAGGTGAAAATTGGCTTATGTGGCAAGAAAGGTGGAAAATAAATTTTAGGGAAAATTTTGCCAATCAAACAACAAAAAATTGGAAAAAATAGAATTTCAATTCTATTTTCCTTGGAATTCCATGCCAATCAAACATGGCCTTATTTCATGCGGTGAGATTATTAGAATAATAATGGCTTCAGCTTTTGAGCATCATTGGAATTTGGATGCCTCTAAAAATATTTAATGCTGATTTGACAAAATCTCTGCTTTTAATTCTGCTTCATATAGAAAAAATTCTTAAGAAATTTAGAAAAACACTTGCCCCCCTGTTTTTAGCCCTGGCTTTGAGCCTGGGCGTGCAGCAATGCTCAGAAATTTATTGAGTTAAGTTCCTCTAAAAACTCTTTTAATCAGACAAAATAATTCTTAAAAAAAAGTATTTAAATATATTCAAAAGCAGTTTCTTAATCTCATAAATAGATTTTAACTATTCAAAAGCATGCTATATGAGCCCTTGATATTTAGGCCCCGTTTGGTACACATTAATGTAAAAATGAGAATAATACGGACCCCACACAAAAGATAAAAAGTCAATTATGATAATTTGATGTAATGGATAACGGTCATATTTTTTATTTTAATGGGTAAATAATGAAAAACAAACGGGTGCTTAATCAAAATGTTCTTCAGAGTGAACTTTGTGTATTTATTAGTTTTGAGTATTCAACCGTTTCATGTGAAAACGTGAATGAAAGACACATATTTGAAAATCAAGGAGACGATCGGTCACAGGTTGATGCAAAATATCTATTGCCTATCATTTCTTTTGTTTAAAAGCTACTTTGCCATCGATGGATTGTGACATTCAAATGGCTCTGATTGGTTAGGCTACCGGACAATGACTATTGTAGATTGCATTTGCTCTTCCTTTTCCTTTCAAAGCAAAAATTTGCTTTTTTACTTAGAAATATTGAAATATGTAAAATATACGAAATTGATTATGCAAGGCACATACAAATTATATAAGAGATAATAAATCATAGGATCAACGCTCATGTTATCCAAGTTTAAACGCAATTAAACTTGGTAAATATTCTTGAATCCATTTTGTACCATTATTTGTCAAAGAATTTCACATCTCCATGAACGAGCACAAATAGAAGAATAGTCACGAAGAAAGTGTGGGTTGTAACAAGCTCCTTGAAATTTTACGTAGTTTTTAAGGGTTTAA